GGGCCTAATGTTTTTGTGTATCCTACTGCCAGTTGTAGTCTCTGTAAAAACAGTTTTGATCAACAAAGCATGCATAGAAAATACACAAACCCTAAATAAAGTGATCGGTGCCCATATTTCTTCTACTCTGAAAAAGAATCACTCTTTGAGATGAATGTGCCTGGGACCTTGTTATCAAGCAAGTAGGTTGTCACAACGGACATTTGAAAAGTAGCTGTTGGTTAGCTGAAGATTAATGTTAAATTGAAATGGTTGCAAATGTTTAACAACAGCATTGCATGTATATAGGCTTGAAGCCTTTCTAAACCTTTTTAACCACTTGCCTTCCGCCGATGTATAAAAAATGGCCGGACAGTGGCAGTCCAGGGACGGGTTACCGTTCATAAACGGCGCCCGTCATTTTGGACTGTGCGCGGTGTCCTCCGGACACAGTGGAACACCGATTGTCATACGGGACCTCTGTGCGAGGTCCCGATCATGTGATCACTGATTGGCCAATCAGTGATCACATGCAGAGTAGTAAGCAAGATGTCACTTCTGACATCATTGCTTACTACATGTGAAATATGTGAATGATCACAGAGGTCACATGGTACAAGGCTATTAATAACAGCCTTATACCATGTGACAAGCTGTGACCAATCACAGCTCACACAGTATTTCTCAATGGCTGGAAGAATGCAGCCAGAGAGAAGGCCAAATTATTGCTTTTACAGCCTTTATGGGTCAATCAGTGATCACATGCAGAGTAATAAGCAAGATGTCACTTCTGACATCATTGCTTACTACTTGTGAAATCTGTGAATGATCACAGAGGTCACATGGTACAAGGCTATTAACAACAGCTTTATACCATGTGACAAGCTGTGACCATTCACAGCTCACACAGTATTTCTCAATGGCTGCAAGAATGCAGCCAGAGAGAAAGCAAAATTATTGCTTTTACAGCCTTTATGCTAAAAAAAGCAATCAGTGTAAAAAAAAAAAAAAATCTCTTCATCACCCCACAAGTAGTAGTGTCACCATGGTGACACTGTACCGCTAGGGTGACAGTATGCAAAAAAAAAACCCCATAAATAATAATATAAAAAAATAAAATAAAAAATTTAAAAAAAAGTTTTAAAAATTATAAATTTTTGGTTATACACTAATCTGGGTTATTTTTTTTTTTTACTAAAAAGATAACGGAATAAATTTTGGCCACAATTTATGAAGAAATATTTATTTGCAAAATTTTATAAGAAAAACACTTTTTTTCAAAAAGGTTTGGACTTTTTCATTTATATAGCAATAAAATAAAAATCCAAGTGGTGAATAAATACCACCAAAATAAAGCTTTATCTGTCTCAAAAAAATGCAAAAAAATTCTTATGGGTTCAGTGTTGCATGACCGCGCAATTGTCATTCAAAGTGTGATAGTGCTGAAAGCTGAAAATTGGCCTGGACAGGAAGGGGGTAAAAATGTCTGGACTTGAAGTGGTTAAAGCAGTTACTGCCCCCGCCACCTCCCATCTTGACTAAGGGAAACCGGCAGGGAAAGTGCGCTTTGCTGTGTGAATGGGCTGCAGCCCTCTAGGACCTTGGAAGTGTCCCAGAGGGCTGCGGGGGGGGGGGGGGGTGCCAAACTTCAGCTGGAAGTGGGAGCAGGTACCTGTCAAAACCAGGTACCTGCTCCCCCCCTCTCCCCCAAAAGGTGCTGAATGTGGCAGTGGAGGAGGGAAGGAGGCAGAAAAGAGCAGCTTCCAATTTTGGGTGGAACTCCGCTTTAACATTGAGGGACCCTAGAAATAACTTTCCAGTTTCAGGGAATCCCTGCTAATAATTACTATATCTAGATCTCCCAGTACATTAGCATGATGGTCAGAAGGAAGAATGTTCATTACATTTGTTGTCTTTGGGAAGAATTGCCCTCTTACAGATAGCTAAAAGGATCATTGGTATCAGTGGTTACTTATCTGAGAGGCAGAAATTGCTAACTGCCCAAGGGACATGTGGACTGTGTGCTGTCTGTTCTGTAGGGCTATATACACCACCTTGACTAAAGATAGTTTTTTTGGAGGTTACAAAATAAATTACTGTATCACCCAATATATGGCTTCCATTCAGTAGCCCAAAGAGGCATACAAAAAAGAAGGGTTTGTGAAAAGGAATTCACAGAAAGCGGCTACATTATGAACAGAATGTGATACTCAGAAAAATTTCCAAAAATTATGCTTTATTACATATAAATATTTGACATATGGGCAATCGCCCTGGTTTACCATCACCTCAGTATGAGACAATACACACAGACCTAAAACCATATAAAATAACACCAAGACTGGTCTGGATAGATGTGCTGCAAAGACAATGACAACTGAAGTCTAAAGTCTTTGTAGCACTGGCACATAGGTTAACACTTCCCAAAGGAGGTGTACACAAAAATTATACCATAGGTATATAGTGTCACATGTAATAAATATAAAGACATGTGTCAAAACCATATAGGTTCTATCCCATAGAGGGGAATTCCCAAAAATTATACCAAAGTTATGAAATATCACATGTATACAATGCAGCGAGCACAGTGTGCGTCAAAAGAGAGGCATAACCATAAGCCTATGTTAGGCAGCAAAAAGGATATCACAAATGAAATGCAGTACAGTCCCATGCCGGCACATGTGGTTGGGGCCCATTCATCTGTAATATAAGTGACTGATTCTTAGGACTTTTAGATATAAATAACGCCCCAGTTGTTGCCTGGATGGAGAAACAGATGCAAGTAGCAGAACACTGCTTCAAGTGATTTCTTCACCACAGCATGTGGACTACACACCACTTTTTGTTGAAAACAAGATAAGGCCCAGCGGCTCCTCCGCCTGTTGAAATATATGTGGCATGCCTTGTTTCCTATATAAAGCACCATAATGTCCCCATCCTGTAGTAAGACAAACAATATGAGGGAAGTCACTGTAAGAGCTTTCACTCGATAATAGACGTTTATGCCATATAGGTCACAAGGGACCTTTAATCTAATGTCCTGTAACAGTCCACTCACCACCTGTGCAATGGGTAGTAAGAACGAAAAGGATATCCTTCATAAGTACTGCCCTTCAAAAGGTACTGCTGTATGGAACCAAGGAACCACCGCTAACATCAGCTGACATACCGCGGGTTCCGACCTCTCGATGGCGCCTGTGCCGCCTAAGTATGCCTCATGGCATGTGAAGATGGCTACCTCCTTGTAGGTCAGCGTGCGTTCCACCTAGTGCGCATGACCGGAAGTGACGTATCTGATGTATGACGTCAACGCGTTTCGCCGATGGGCATATCTCACTCAGCTTCGTCAGCTCTTACAGTGACTTCCCTCATATTGCTTGTCTTACTACAGGATGGGGACATTATGGTGCTTTATATAGGAAACAAGGCATGCCACATATATTTCAACAGGCGGAGGAGCCGCTGGGCCTTATCTTGTTTTCAACAAAAAAAGTGGTGTGTAGTCCACATGCTGTGGTGAAGAAATCACTTGAAGCAGTGTTCTGCTACTTGCATCTGTTTCTCCATCCAGGCAACAACTGGGGCGTTATTTATATCTAAAAGTCCTAAGAATCAGTCACTTATATTACAGATGAATGGGCCCCAACCACATGTGCCGGCATGGGACTGTACTGCATTTCATTTGTGATATCCTTTTTGCTGCCTAACATAGGCTTATGGTTATGCCTCTCTTTTGACGCACACTGTGCTCGCTGCATTGTATACATGTGATATTTCATACCTTTGGTATAATTTTTGGGAATTCCCCTCTATGGTATAGAACCTATATGGTTTTGACACATGTCTTTATATTTATTACATGTGACACTATATACCTATGGTATAATTTTTGTGTACACCTCCTTTGGGAAGTGTTAACCTATGTGCCAGTGCTACAAAGACTTTAGACTTCAGTGGTCATTGTCTTTGCAGCACATCTATCCAGACCGGTCTTGGTGTTATTTTATATGGTTTTAGGTCTGTGTGTATTGTCTCATACTGAGGTGATGGTAAACCAGGGCGATTGCCCATATGTCAAATATTTATATGTAATAAAGCATAATTTTTGGAAATTTTTCTGAGTATCACATTCTGTTCATAATGTAGCCGCTTTCTGTGAATTCCTTTTCACAAACCCTTCTTTTTTCTATATACACCACCTGCCTGGAGTTTGCATGTTCTCCCTGTGCCTGCGTGGGTTTCCTCCGGGTACTCCGGTTTCCTCCCACTCTCCAAAGACATGCTGGTAGGTTAATTGGCTCCTGTCTAAATTGTCCCTAGTATGTGTATGTATGAATGTGAGTTAGGGACCTTAGATTGGACGCTCCTTGAGGGTTAGGGACTGATGTGAATGTACAATATATATGTAAAGCACTGTGTAAATTGATGGCGCTATATAAGTACCTGAAATAAATAAATAATATACAAAATCTCTAACAGAAGAGCTTGTAGGGGATAATAAAAAAAAAACAAACTAAGATTAACATCAGATAGCATCAGTGACAGTCAATTGATTGATACAAACAAGGACTCTGCATTTTCTCTTTCCAAAGGGCAGTTTTCACTGCAAGTGCAAAGGTCAATTAAAGGTTAAAGTTCAGAAAAACTGCATAGTTCAGAGTTAATAAAGTTTAAAATAGGCAAAGTATGATAACACTGTTTATTGTAGTCAGTGTTATCAGGAATAATGACTGAATGGTATTTGAAAACCAAAGTAATGACAGTTATTACCTATGACTGTCACTCAGCTGGTATATTACTGACCCAGCGTATAAAAAAAAAAGGTACTTCTCAGCAATTTTTAGGAAAGAAAAGTATTTTTTTACCCAAAAGCTGGCAATGTTAGTATCACCATCATACCGGAGGACTTGCCAGATCACTCTCAGCAATGCAGGCTTCTCTGTGCAGTGGCTGATCATTGCCTCAGGAAAAAATTTTGGATTGTCATGCATTATTTGTAAAAATTGTGTGACATCATTCCTCACTGTCACAATCAGAGACTCACAGGCTGCTGCTCTGTTACTTCCCCCTGTCTTCTTGAGCAAGGATCTCCAAACTTTCTAAACAAAGGGCCAGTTTACTGTCCTTCAAACTTAAAGTGTTACTAAACCCCAGACCCTGCATCACTATATCCGGTCTCCCCGGACCCTGCATTCACTATATCCGGTCTCCCCCCGGACCCTGCATTCACTATATCAGGTCTCCCCGGACCCTGCATTCATCACTATATCCGGTCTCCCCGGACCCTGCATTCACTATATCCGGTCTCCCCGGACCCTGCATTCACTATATCAGGTCTCCCCGGACCCTGCATCACTATATCCGGTCTCCCCGGACCCTGCATTCACTATATCCGGTCTCCCCGGACCCTGCATTCACTATATCCGGTCTCCCCGGACCCTGCATTCACTATATCCGGTCTCCCCGGACCCTGCATTCACTATATCCGGTCTCCCCGGACCCTGCATTCACTATATCCGGTCTCCCTGGACCCTGCATTCACTATATCCGGTCTCCCCGGACCCTGCATTCACTATATCCGGTCTCCCCAGACCCTGCATTCACTATATCCGGTCTCCCCGGACCCTGCATTCACTATATCCGGTCTCCCCGGACCCTGCATTCACTATATCCGGTCTCCCCGGACCCTGCATCACTATATCCGGTCTCCCCGGACCCTGCATCACTATATCTGGTCTCCCCAGACCCTGCATCCGCTATATCCGGTCTCCCCGGACCCTGCATTCGCTATATCTGGTCTCCCCGGACCCTGCATTCGCTATATCTGGTCTCCCCAGACTCTGCATTCGCTATATCTGGTCTCCCCGGACTCTGCATTCAGTATATCTGGTCTCCCCGGACCCTGCATTCACTATATCCGGTCTCCCCGGACCCTGCATTCCCTATATCTGGTCTCCCACAGTACACAGAACATGGAAATGCAATTATTTTAGTAAATATAAACAGCTAAATACCTTTCTCATCAGCAGTTAGAGCAGTCTTATGACTTCTATCAGTGTCCAGCAGAGCACTGGTTAAAGCTTGTAGAAGGAGTTTTCTTTCTGCTCTAGAAGGATGCAAAACCCCTGACCTCTGTCTGGACAGTGCTGATTGGTCCTGCGCTGATCACATGCACTGTCCTAAGAAACAAAAACCACTCTAGCAATACACACCACACACCGAGCATGTGCAGAGTGACTCCACAGGATATGTCTTATCAGGAGATAAGAGGGGGACACTGGAAGAAGGTGAGGATCAGAGAAGTCAGGATCAAACAGCTTTTTTACACAATGCAGATGATTAACCCCTTAGGTTCCACAGTGAGTATAACAAGCATGCTTTACTGCATATACAGACTGATTTTACATTTGTGGGTTTAGTAACACTTTAATTATGTATTATTAAATACAGAACAGCATTTACAGTATTTGTGTATTTATTTCTGCCCAGAGTTCAAATTTAAATTTCAATATCTACATAAAAAGAAAGAAGTGCAGAAATTTTTTTTGCATTACCATTTCAAGTTTGCACAAAAATATAATTGTCTCTATAATTTAATTTCAATAACAATGCACAATTTAGGCAAACCCTGTAATCTAACAGCGGTTTGGAAATGGATGCTGAGCACACCAGCATAGTCTTTAGCTTCACGCAAATTGCATGTTTTCTAGGTTCCTCACGCGCTGTTCAGATCATGGTGTATTTGGGTATCGGGTATCGGGTATCGGGTTTGTACACAACGAAGTTGCAGAATGAACTTTTATGTGTAACTGCAGCCTTGTGACCATGTTAAATGGTTGTTAAAACGAGTGACTCACATAGAATATGTATGAGTTGGAGCCTGGGGCATTATAGGAAAATAACAATGTTTTTCAACCACATACTTACACGACTCTCATAATAATGTGCCTTATCCGGACCAAAAGTAAACATGTAGGTGAATTAAAGAGCAATTCAAGGCAACAAGTGGAATCTGTCCTTAAGCCACTAATTTTATTCAGCAAGTGCACTAAAGTCAAGGAGTTCACTCAATTTTAGTTAATACAAGTGTCCTGACTGTTCCTCTGTGCACAAAGCCAGCTCCATAAAGACATGGTTTGATGGGTTTGGCGTGGGGGAACCGAAGTGGCCTGTAAAGCGCCCTGACCTCAGCCTTACTGAACACCTGTGAGCCAGGTCTTCTCATTCAACATCAGTACTTGACCTTACAAATGTTCTTCATGTGTGAATGGGCACAATTTCCCACAGACACACTCCGAAATCTTATGGAAAGCCTTTTCAGAAGAGTGGAGGCTGTTATAGCTGCAAAAGGGCGGCAACTCCATGTCAATGTCCTTAATTTTGGAACTGGCTGTCCATTCAAATAGGGGTGATGATAAGGTGTCCATCAAGGTTTGGCCATATAGTGTATTTACTGAATTATGTATTTTTCTGAAATTCTCTATAACGACCCGCCAATTTTTCTAATCAGTATCAGTTATTCTACGCACAGCTGTAGCTTTATAAATGTTACGTAGAATAATTGTGGTAAAGTGTGTAATATCTAACTTTGTCTGTATTCAACATCAGCACTTGACCTCACAAACGTTCTCTTGGGTAAATGGGCCCAGCTTCCCATAGACACACGCCGCAATCTTGTGGCAAGCCTTCCATGAAGACTGGAGGCTGTTGTAGCTGCAAAGGGGCAAACTCCATGGTAATGTCCATGATTTTGGAATTGGATGCCCATTCAAATAGGGGTGATGGCTGGGTGTCCACCAAGCTTTGGCCATATAGTGTATTTACTGAATTATGTACTTTTCTGAAGTTCTCTACAACAACGCACCGCTTTTTTTAATCAGTATCAGTTATACTAGGCACAGCTGTAGCTTTATAGAGTTACATACTGTATAATTGTGGTATAGTGTGTAATGTCTAACTTCGTCTGTATTCAACATCAGCACTTGACCTCACAAACGTTCTCTTCGGTAACTGGGCCCAACTTCCCATACACACACTCCGAAATCTTGTGGCAAGCCTTCTGAGAATACTGGAGACTGTTGTAGCTGCAAAGGGGAAAACTCCATAGCAATGTCCATGGTTTTGGAATTGGATGCCTATTCAAATAGGGTTGATGGTCAGGTGTCCACCAAGGTTTGGCCATACAATGTATTTACTAAATGTTGTACTTTTCTGAAGTTCTCTATAACAACCCACCACTTTTTATAATCAGTTTCAGTTATTCTACGCACAGCTGTAGCTTTATAAATGTTACATGTAGCTGCAAAGGGGCAAACTCTACGGTAATGTCCATGATTTTGGAATTGGATGTGATGGTCAAGAGTCCACCAAGATTTGGCCATGAAGTGTATTTATTGAATTATGTATTTTGTCTGAAGTTCCCTACAAAAAAAAAAAACATCAATGTTTCTAATCAGTGTCAGCTATTCTAGGCACAGCTGTAGCTTTACCACAATTATTCTATGTAACTCTTTATAAAGTATATATAGTGTAACTTTTGCCTGTATTCAACATCAGTACTTGACCTAACAAATGGTCTCTTGGGTGAATGGGCCCAACTTCCCATAGACATACTCTGAAATCTTGCAGAAAGCCTTCTGAGAAGATTGAAGGCTGTTATAGCTGACAAGGGGGCAAACTCCATGGTAATGTACATGATTTTGGAATGGGATGTCCATCCAAATAGGGGTGATGGCCAGGTGCCTACCAAGGTTTGGTCATATTATTATTATTATCATCATACAGAATTTATATGGCTCCCACAGTTTGCACAGAGCTTTACATAGTGAGGGCAGACAGTGCAATTACAATACTATTTAATACAGAAGGAAACAGACGGCCCTGCTCATTAGAGCTTACACTCTGAAAGGTCATATAGTGCATTTATTGAATTAAGTGTTTTGCCTGAAGTTCTCTTTAACAACCCACCATTTTTCTAATCTGTGTCAGCTATTCTAGACACAGCTGTAGCTTTATAAAGCATTACATTGAATAATTGTGGTAAAGTGTGTATTGTCTAACTCTTGTCTGTATTCAACATCAGTACTTGACCTCACAAATGTTCTTTTGGGTGAATTGGTCCAACTTCCCACAGACACAGTTTGAAATCTAGTAGAAAGCCTTCCCAGAAGAGTGGAGGCTGCTATAGCTGCAAAGGGGGTATAAATCCCCATTAACATCCATGATTTTGGAATGGGATGTCCATCCAAATAGGGGTGCACATCAAGGTTTGGCCACATAGTGTATTTATTAAATTATTAACTTTGTCTGAAGTTTAAAACTTCAGACAACTTACCATTTTTCTGATCAGTGTCAGCCATTCTAGGCATAGCTGTGGCTTTAGAAAGACCTACGTAGAATATTTATGGTGTAATATCTAACTATTGCCTGTATGCAAAATAGTCCATCTTGCAGAAAACACATGTTCTCTGCCAAACTTTCTGGTAAATAGATAAACTTTTGTAATTAAAACCCAACCAGGCTTGTCAGCAGTGTTAATAATACTATCCTGCCAAACATCTACCAGGTGTTTTCGATGTATGCAAAAGAAACCTATGATTGCTCATCACTAGTGATTTTTTTTTTCAGTTCGATTGCTGTCTGTGTTCCCAATGGGGAGATTCACCCATTTTTGTCCTGTTGACCTCTGTCACCAGGAGGGATAGTAAGGGGAATTCCAAAATTTTACAGTTGCCACCAGAACAACAGGTAAGAGGGAATTTTCACACCTGTTCTGATGCAATTGTAGGCCTCTTTTACACAGGCAGCAGCTTCTTCCACCATGTGACAGTCAATTTGTGCTGGATCGGTGGAGAGCAGCAGAGCAGTGGCTTCCAAGCATTTCGGAATTTTTTTCCTGTTGAACAGGGATTTTGTATTGTTTTGCTGCAACAAAGAGTGAAGCATTTGGCTCGGGGTTGAAGCATGGCCTCCTTGACTTCATTGGACAAGTTTGACAGGCAGTGCTGCCTGTTAAACTCAGCATGTTGAGTTAAATTTGCTGTGACAGCAAAGCCTTGTGGCCACCGTAGGTCTCCAATCTCCTCTGCCTGCCATGTCCATTTGTAAGTGGGCGTTTAAAGAGAATAAAATGCAGATCAGCCTGTTTTTACTTCCCCCTTGTGAAAGAGCTCTTAGATTTTTTTTTCATTCTTTGGAGAACTTTCCTCTAACTTTCTGTTGTGTCCTTATGACAGAAGGTATAAGGAAATCTGAGTTATAGACAGCAAATAAAATAAGCCTGCCAAGATTTTAAAAGTCCAACTCCAAGCAAATAAAAAATATTCATTGCAGTGAGGCTGTGCAAGGGTCAATTGCTTGTTTATGTCTAGGGCACGGGTGTAAAACGAATGGCCCTCCAGTTGTTGCCAAACTACAATACGGCTGCCAGACTCATTCACCTTTCCAACCGCTCCGTTTCCGCCATCCCCCTCTGCCAATCCCTCCACTGGCTTC